GTGGTCCTGCCTCAGCATAGGGGGCTGGGCTTCCTTACCTTGAGAGGTCTCTTCCAATCTTACATATCCATGATTCTGTGGTGTGACATTCAATACAAGGGAGCCAACTCGAGGTTGCCAACAACAATCATATTGAAATGAAGAGCACTATTGCAAACAAGCCTATGTCCTGACTTCCCCAATATAATAATAAATGTGAATATAAAAGTTGTTTTTCACACAAGTCAACAAATGACAGTGTAACACAGTTTTATAATATATAGCAAGGTATTTCTGCATCAGCTTAAGAAGAGATATCCTGATACATTACCTCTTAGGGTTAGTGTAAAGCTCACTGGAGTATAAAGATGAATATTGGTTTAAAAGTGCAGTTCTCCATCAAAAGCCCAAAAGGTTTTATTTGTATAATTCACATATTTCCTTTTGCACAACTTTTTCTTCTGCATATACTCACTCTTCCCTGTAAATTGGTGTCAACGTCCCTCACATACAGTATACTAATTTGTAACACTTTCATACATTAAATTCCAGGGTTTAACCCAAACTTTTTTCAAAATCTCAGGAAAACCAGCAACAAAAGGGGAGGGAGTGAGGGAGAGAGAGAAAGAAGGAAAGAAAGAAAATAGATATATAGATCTTGTTATAATGTTATTAATTGAAGCACTATACTACACACATTGCTTTCAGAATAGGAAATGTCATGCCCTTCCTACTCCTACTCATTGTACTTCAAGGCTCTGTAAAATTTTAGGCTGGAAGGTACAAAATGATTCAAAGCAATACCCCATCTGTTATCCCTGTTCCAAGCTTGTATGAAGAATATATGTCTGAAATGACCAAATAAAGAACTGTAACTCTTGATGGAGACTGTAATTACCATAAAAATAGAGTTCATACCTACACTTGTTTGCTACAGACAGATGGCTGCTTGCTTTTTTGTCCCATAACACTGCAGCTCTGTCCCATTAGATTCTCTTTGTGGAGAGTGACAGCCTGTGAGGTCAGTTTTCTGACAAGGTCATCTGCCTTCAGAGTGTGAAGAGAACGGCATAGAAAGTGGGTTGGTTATATTTAGAGTTTGGTCCAAGTCAGTGCCATGGTTCTGCACTGTCTCTCCCTTACAGCGCTGTCTCATGTCTCTGGGTCTAACTCTCTGCTGTTACTCAGTCTACTGAATACAGAGAAAAATCATTTTGAATGACTGTTGGAACTAGGTTTCTCAACTTACTAAAACAACTAAATTTGGAGCTCCGAGAAGGAGTCCTTTATTCTGTAGCTTTAAATAGACAATATTCTTTACGGGAGTGGATTTTCCCCTTTGGAGTAAAAGAGAGAAAATTGAAATTGTCCATAATACAACAAAGGAAGACTTCCTGCACTAAGGTAAGCCTATTTTACCTTGATGATATCAGCAACATTGAAAAAATTGGGTTGATTGTTTAATGCACCAGACATTATTCTTCTGTTATACCTATATTCCATTTACTCTTAATTTGAAGGCTTTTGGGGGTTAATGAACTGATTACAACTCTGGACAAATTCTCAGCTATTCAACTGATGTTGTACATAATATCAGTTTGCATTATTAATATAGGAAGGAAACAAGAAAATAATAATATAACAGCATGTGTGATACAGTAATCGCTGTATGATTAAACCAGACATAAGAATATCAGAGATATTACAGATTTATTATTAGAAAGAACGCTCCAAGAAAATAAACTGTTATATTCTGAAAGTAAGCAAAAAGCTTGTGTATCTGAGATTATATGTGAAAGTACGCATGTGTGTGCAGTTAGTGATTATATATTATGTGCGTTTAGTAAATGCAAGCTCAGAAAATATGCTGTCCATTGACAGTAAGCTTGCAAAACAGAGTTCACTGCAAGCTGCAAGGAACATTTTTAAATAAAGGTCACTCCAAAAGATGCTCAAAGCGCTCTCACATTTCCAAGAAAGTTGCACATCTTTAGCACAGCTGCAGGCAGGAAACAGGGGTCATATGACAGAGGTGTTTCTTTTCGGCAGAATGCTTCAGACTGATAGCACATTGTTTCCTTATAAACTTAAAAGCAAAAACTGTTTAATTGTTTTCCTTAGCCTTCCTTGGTCTGTTTTGATGTTTAAAAAAACCACACAGATGAAGTATAACATGCCATATGTGGTAAGGATTAGGAAGAAATCTATGCAACTAGAGAGCTAAGACATTTATCAATTACACATTACTGAATAATATAATGCTAATTTCCTTTCAACACTCTCATGATGAACAAAGGAATCTGTTCACTGTGAAGTCTGATATAAGTGAATCTTGGTTCATAATGGAGTAAAGAATCCTGAATTGTTTCAGTGCATTGAGGCACGCAGACTTTAGTTTTGGTTACAGTGAATTTCTATTTAGATCTAAAGACTTTTGGAGGGTGAAAAACTGGCTTTACTTTAAGAGGCTTTCCTATGTATATGCCAGTCCTATTAAGCTGTTTTAATGTAAACAGAAATGATGCTCAAACAATATCGCTCCCATACTTGAAGTATAAAAGTACAATACACTTAATGAAATTAGTATTTTGTTACTGCCAGTCCATTCTTTGGTCCTGAAGGCCTTATGGAGTAATCTGTGAGGTAAGATACACCAAAAGAAAAGATGTAAGAGCAGTTTAATACAATAGCCTCATCCATGCTTATTTCTGTAGCCTTAATAAACAGCTCTACAAGCCTCTCCATTCACAGCAAATGTGGTAGGACAATCAAATGTAATACTTTAGAGTCTATTTTTGCTTTTCTTTTGCTCATGTACCCCCCACTGGAGTTAATGACTGTTATAAGGATAACTGATAAAGCTATTACTAGCCCCCAAGATTGTGACACAGTCTGGATCCATCCCTTGTTCTGCTGGCTGGCAGAACAAATGAAACAGTCCCTAACATACTTCATCACAGGACGTGACCATACATCTTGGCTGTGTCTACACTGGGCCACTTATTCCGGAAAAGCAGCTGCTTTTCCGGAATAAGTGGCCCAGTGTAGACACAGCCAAGATGTATGGTCACGTCCTGTGATGAAGTATGTTAGGGACTGTTTCATTTGTTCTGCCAGCCAGCAGAACAAGGGATGGATCCAGACTGTGTCACAATCTTGGGGGCTAGTAATAGCTTTATCAGTTATCCTTATAACAGTCATTAACTCCAGTGGGGGGTACATGAGCAAAAGAAAAGCAAAAATAGACTCTAAAGTATTACATTTGATTGTCCTACCACATTTGCTGTGAATGGAGAGGCTTGTAGAGCTGTTTATTAAGGCTACAGAAATAAGCATGGATGAGGCTATTGTATTAAACTGCTCTTACATCTTTTCTTTTGGTGTATCTTACCTCACAGATTACTCCATAAGGCCTTCAGGACCAAAGAATGGACTGGCAGTAACAAAATACTAATTTCATTAAGTGTATTGTACTTTTATACTTCAAGTATGGGAGCGATATTGTTTGAGCATCATTTCTGTTTACATTAAAACAGCTTAATAGGACTGGCATATACATAGGAAAGCCTCTTAAAGTAAAGCCAGTTTTTCACCCTCCAAAAGTCTTTAGATCTAAATAGAAATTCACTGTAACCAAAACTAAACCAGTGCCAGTGTAGACGCAGCCCTTGAGGAGGTTGTTACTAATTTACTATGTGATGAAGCTATATCACAATGTATTAATGCAGCGTTTCTCAAACTGTGGGTTGTGACCCCCAGGGGGGCCGTGAGCAACTTAGAAGGAGGTCACAGCTGGATTCAGTTTTTCACTTACGGCCCCTCTCTCCTGAGCTGCGAAGAGTGGCAGGGCGGCGGAAGGCAGCCGCCGGCAAGCCGTGCAGCATGGCCAGGGCCATGGGACTCCAGTAGCGCGGCTCAGCTGCAGGAGGCGGCAAGGCGGCGGGAGAGTGAGGCCGGTGCAGGAGCGGACGTGCGAGGGGCTGGCCAGGGCACGGTTGCCAGGCGACAGAATGCTTCCCCAGCTGGGAGAGGGCGGGGTCCCTCAGGCAGCGGACTGGGGGATTGGGTCGGGGATGCCTGGAGGTAAATAAGGGCACGAGGGTCAGAGGAGAGGAGAAAGAAAGAACAAACACCGAACCAAAGGGACACGGAGTGGAAAAGAGGCACAGAGGAGAAAGAGATGGGGGGAAGGAGTCTGCAGGGGGGAAGGGCATTGAGGACCGCAAATGCCTTGAAGGAACCCCAGGAGGGCAAGGAGTCTGGTGAGAAGGGGTAAGGAAGCGACCCAGGGCAGTGAGAGTGGGGGTGGGGGGTCACAAATTCATTTAGCATCTTAGGGGGTTGTGGTATCACAAAGTTTTAGCACCCCTGTATTAATGGAATGTAGGTGTATACACTAATTCAACACCACAATGGCTTTCTGAAAAGCAAATGCAATAGGTGGCCATTCTAGAAAACACTCAGCCAATAAGTTTGACATCATCGCACTAGAAGTTCTCCTTACCATCCCCAGTGCAAACTTTTTGCAAAAGCCTACACCTCAACTGAAGCAAAATGCAGGACAATGTAGCACTTTAAAGACTAACAAGATGGTTTATTAGATGATGAGCTTTCGTGGGCCAGACCCACTTCCTCAGATCAAATAGTGGAAGAAAGTAGTCACAACCATATATACCAAAGGATACAATTTAAAAAAATGAACAAATATGAAAAGGACAAATCACATTGCAGAACAGAAGGAGGATGCGGGGGGGTGGGAAGGGGGAGGAAGGAAGGTAAGTGTCTGTGAATTGCTGATATTAAAGGTAGGGAGAGTGGGATGTTTGTGAGTTAATGGTATTACAGGTGATAATTGGGGAAACTGTCTTGATAATGGGTCTGAGGCATTTGAAGGCTAGTGGCCTTTATTTTAGGAAGAATAATAAGGCAACAAAAGAACACTACCATTCACATGGAGTTAGTTCATCTATGTAACGCTGACCAGTTCAATTCCTGTAATTAATTCCGGCCTCCTTTTTTAATATACCTGCTATTAAACTCTTTTGTATAGCATAGTGTATTAGACTATAAAAATATAATGCTTACATTCTGGCACAATCTCTCACATGCTGAAGGAATTTATCTTGATCACTTCTCCTAACATATAGAAAATTATTCTCTGACCTTTCCTTCTTTCCAATTTCATTTAGCAATGTACTTGCAAGGCTGGAGTATTTGACTGATTTTTGGCACAATAAAATACATAATGGCTGACATCCATTTCCACAAAAGCTCTTCCTAAGAGTTCATGGCTTTTAACAAATAATTGTTCAAGGGCTCTGTCATTGCATAGATTCGGGCTAAGTAGGAGGTGATCGTTCAGATTTTCTGGAGGGTTTTTTAACGTCAGAAAATTGGATTGCATGTTGGACTGTGTGTTACCTTCATTACTGGTAAAGGACTTAGCAGTACAGGTTGTACCTCTCTTAACTGGAACTCCCTGGTCCAGCAACATCTGTGGTCCGGCAGGGACCATGGACGTTCCTGGACCACAGAGCCCAGGAAGAGGGAGGTCTGGCAGCTGGGTAGAAGCGTCATAAGGGGCACCGGCAACTCAGCCAGGAGTCCAGAATACATGTGTGTGGGAGGAGGACAGGTGGCATGGCAGGCAATTCTGGCCCCAGCAGCCGTGGACCCCAGTGGCAGCCAAGGAGCTCTGGCCCTGGCCGCACAGCTCTGGCCCCATGCCTCCGCCCCAACCCCAGAGCTCCAGCCCCAGCTGTGAAGACAGGCAGCTGCAGAGCTCTGTCGCTGCTGCGCAGCTCTGGCCGTGGCACTCTGTCCCAGCAGCAGCGGGCCCAGGGAGAGCCCTGGGGGGCTGAAGGCAGCAGTGGGGCAGGCTGGAGTCCTAGCCTGGTGGCAGCATGTCCACGAGAGGAGGGACCTTCCCTGGCCCAGCAAATCCCCTCATTTGGGACCAGACAGGTCCAGAGGGTGCCAGACCAGCGAGGTCCAACCTGTAGTAAGCAGTTACCAATATAAAATAAAAATACCAACTAGTTTTTGTAGATAGAATTGTCTTTAGATGGATGGAAAGTGGTGGTGCTCTCACATATGCAGAAAGAGGGTGACGGGTCAGCTATTAGATAGCCAGCAAGAACAACAAAACTGAAGTTGAGCAAAAAATTCACGGCATTATTTCATTTTCTGTTGAAGAATCAATTTCCTCTCCTAGTTTCATTGGTGACAGGAAGGAAGAAAAATCAGAGTTGATATTCACAACACAAAGCCCCAAGCTTTGTCTGACCTGCTTTTACAAATTTATTTCCCACAGCCAGACAGAAAAAAAGAATTTTGCCCTTTGTGTGTGGAGATGTCTCAGTGACAACTGAGTGTAGAACAACAGATATTTTGCTCTGAGAAAA